CCCCGTACACCCCATAGATACGCCACTGTTTATAACCAAATGTTGAGAAGAGTCAAAAGAAAGAAACAGAAAAAAAAAACAAAAAAAAAACGAAAGATATTGAAAGAGATAAATTTATATAATAATTATTAACGGATTTGGATGATTTAGACATACGTTTAGACACGTGTTTGTTGTTTTTTTTCTTGCAGAACTTCTTCACAAAACTCTGTATTATATTTTCAGTATGAGCTTTATTATATTCTATACATTTTGAAATGGTAAGCAAGTAGTTTAGATGATGTAGGTGGAAGTCTGCTGGAGTTTCAGGTTAGAGAGGAGGTGGTTGGAGCCTTACAAATACCTGTGTGTCACTGGGTCACTGGGGCTTTCGTTGAATGTTCAAATCCGATTTGAGACAATTGATTTCATACTCTAAAATACTAGTTTTTTATATACCCTATTCCTAAGCATCTTGATTGATTGATTGATTGACTTTATTCGATGTTTCACACATAAAACATTTATAAAAAAACATGAATATCAGGAATAAGAACAAAACAAAACAAAAAGAGGGTAGCATAAATCTAAAACTGTTGGTATTATACAATAAATTAAAAAAAAAATTGCACATTAAAAAACTATTTTCAACTACTAAAAATTAAAATTACACAATTTTATTACCATTATTTTCAGCACATAGCCCTTCAATGATACAAATGTTGTCGACTGCTATCTTTCCGTTAGTAGCATCTACTCTTAACATCAGCTCGTAATTGTAACGGTTAACTAATTGTAAACTGACATACTCCCATTGACTACTGCTGTCGCCACGAACGAAGAATACATCACGAAATGAATTAGTATTATCTTGATAGATGCGTAGATATTGGTTTACATCACTCGCATAATAGTAAAATGTCAAGCAAAATTCTCCCCAAGTAGCTTGTATTTTAGGACTTCTAAGCTTCCCGTATCGATATCCAGATGAGGATTGTACATATATGTAGTAACCATCTGAAAATCAAAGAAAATTATATTTTAATGATAGGCCTATATATTGATACTGTCACTGAAGATTTTAAAGAAATGTTCAGCTATATTTTTTCCGCTTTTCAAACTATTGTCTTTATTAACAGCATTAACTTGTCTTATAATTTTCCTTTTAACACGTTCATATTGCTATCACTTTGTCATTTATTTGTTATTTATTATTGTTATTACTATTATTATTATTGCTATAATTATTATTGTTATAATTATTATAATTTCTATTATTATTATTATTATTATTATAATTATTAGGATAATGATCATATCATTATCCTATTATTGATAATATTGTAAATAGTATTATTACTAATTGTTCTTATTGTTATTGTTATCGTATATTATTATTATTATTATTATTATTATTATTATTATTGTTGTTGTTATTGTTATAATTGGTATTATTATTATCACTATGATTATGACCATTATCATTTTTACTAGTATTAATATCTTTATTGTTGATGTTATTTTTAAAAATTGTTGTTGAATTTTCAGTTTTGAGGTACTATTTGAATGTACGATGGTGGCGCTATGCATCTCTTTGATCGGCGCGGCAGTTTAGTACGTACCTCAGTCGCTGTTGCTCACGAATATGATAATGAATATTTTTATTTTATACCTCCATGGCTGGATAAAATGTTGCTTTATTTGTAGAAGAAAAGAGAATAAGAATACATGTTCATTGGTTGAGCTGACGGCATTGTTGTAAAACGAGTCGTGCCATAATTCATGTAGGGTTTGAACATACAGGTGCTTTTATTTTGTAAACTTTTTATAAATTTGGTAGTCGGTAGAGTAATACTGAAAGATAATGGATTTTAACACTTAATTGAACTCATTCCTTTACAGTTTGTCTAATTAAATCATTTTAATATTTGATCATTTAATCAAGTCCTAACCATACCAATGTTTATTATTCTTTACGCATACGATTGATGTTGTTATCTGTAGCGAATGTTACTGATGATTGTTTTATAAATAAATTATTTACAGTATACATTGCAGGTAAAAATAACAAAAGTGAAGGCCTTGTGCATTAACTTGACCTGTATAGTTTGAGTTGTTTTTTTTTTCTGGCGTCCTCAACGGTCTACAATTCTTGACAATGTTACTATTCTTAAGAAAGTGTAATACATACTCCAAGTAACATTTTAAAGAATTGTAGACCGTTGAGGACGCCAGAAAAACAACTCAAACTATACTGGTCAAGTTAATCATTCCTGATGATGACATAATTAATGTCGAAATATTGAATCCCAACACGATGGCGTGTATTTCAATGCTTTGAGTATGTATTATACTTTCTTATCCGAGATTAATCAGTGGACCTTTCGGTTACTATTTTTGTTATTTATTTTTTCTACTTTTAAAAAAATATTTTCCCTTTAAATTTATTACCGTATTATTGTTACGTCATTTTTACCGTTTTTGTCATTCTCCACCAAAAGTTGCTGCTTCTATTGTTTTAGCTTTTCCTTCGTTAGCAGAAAAAAAGAAAACATTGTTTTTGTTCTAACTTTAGTTTTTTCCTGCGTTAGCAGAAAAAAAAGTTGTCGATCTGACTTTCTATCCGGTTTTTCTATATTTAATTTTGTTGCACAGGAATATGGCCGGGATGATTTTGATGATTTTTTGTGCTTGGATCTTCTTCGATCAAAGCAAAGACCATGCATTATATAAAATATGTGCATATTAAAATATGACGTCATTATACATATTTTTAATATTCTTAAATGGGTAATTAAACTTTTATGTTAACGCAATTTGCGTTTCCTATATCGTTTTAAACTAGCTACATCTATATTTAACGCAAAATTACCGTAAAATGAATAAACTATTTTTATAGTATACCTGTCTCTTATACACATCTAGATGTGTATAAGAGACAGCTATTATTATTATTGCGCGGCGCTTATTCTAGCATTTACGGTAATGCTCATGTTTGTTTTTTTTTTTACTATTTTAAATAATAAAAAATTATCAAAAATTTACTATTTATCATTCGATTTTCAGTATTCGTTTTTTTTTTTTTGGTAATAATATTATTATTATTTATATTATTATGTAATAATATTATTAATATATTTAAAATTATTATTAGTGCTATTAATAATAATAATATCAATTATAAATATATTATTATGATTATTATTATGAATATTGATATTAGTTTTATTATCGATATTATCAATACTAATAATAACAATATTAATATTAATGATCATTTTATTATTAGGCCTATTATTATTATTTTCATTACAAATATTATTATTATTATTATTTTAAATATTATCATTATCGTAATATTGTTATCAATAATATCGTTACCATTATTATCATTATCATAAATATCTTTATCGTTATCACTAAACTTTCACCAGGCCTTGTTATTATATTTCGTAAACATTCTTCGTCTATAGAGCATTAATTTGCTGTAAAGAAGTAGTAAGTTTAAACTGAAACTGACCTTGACCAATACCGATACTCCCAGAGGAACGCGTCCACAGATTAGAACTAGAGTAATAATTAGTCCAGCCACACCAGTTATATTCGAAGTCACAGCAACTACCACCTGTTTAGATAATTATGAAACATTTTTATATTAAATAGCTAGCAATATTTCGACGAAAGAAAATACGCCTACGAGAGTTCTTTGTGAATGTTTACGTTGTAAATAATAAAGAAGAAAAAAAAAGAAAAAAAATAATTATTTTTAAGTTAATAACTTTTCAGATAACATATTAAATCGAACAATGCATTTAATGGGAACTATGCACCTCTGTAGCTTAAATAAGTTGCCTTGAACATCTACACCAATAATATTGCAGTCAAGTTTTTCTAACTAATTTGCTAAAGTTTAAAAAATTAATATTATTTAGGCCTATGGGCCTAATACTGATGGATTGTGATATACATTTTCAGTACTCTTATAATGAATATTGTATTTTGAAATAAATGTTCTTACAATAAATCATCTTAAAATTTATATTTCTTTTAATGGCAACACAGTTAAGTATAACAATTATCGATTTAAGTTTTCGACGGGAAAGATAATTTAGAATATAAATTGTTAATTTTATTCATCAACCAAGATAATATTTCCATAACTTATTTAACATATTTATTTGTTGAATATTTATTATTATTATTATCTATATTTATCACTACGGGTTTTTTCTTTATATTACTGTAATGAGATATAGGCCTATCATTTTTCCTTGCGTGTCACGTAATAAGATAAATGTCATTCTTTTGTCTTCGTACTTTGTAAAACTTATTGTGGTATTTTGTCACACTTTGCAACAGGACATAATGAAGCTGTTGCACTTTGTAATAATTAATATTACAAATTTGTGTTTATAGTAGATCCTATACGGTATCTTTGCATAGATTTCCTGAAATTATCGTATGCTATGCGTGTGAAATAACAACAAGGTTTTGGGTCAAGTTTATGAAAATCATGCTTTCTTAATACATTATTTCCATGTATAAGCATCCTACTAAACATCTAATCACCTAAGCATTCTACTGTTTACAATAAGCATCCTACATATCAAACTTTGTAAGTATCAGTACTTTGTGGCGGAAGGGTATACTGACCGCAGTCTCATGTTCTGCAATAGCTCACAGCTTAAATATCGTCAAAATTAATGTTGGTGATTGGTAATGCTGTTAAAATGATACAATGATGCTGGTAATGATGAAGTTAATGATAATGATATTGATAATAAAAAAAATACTAAAAAAAAATCAAAATATACAGAATAGAAGAAGAAAAAAATAATTCAGATAAGAAAAAAAATAAGTAAAATAAAATAATAATAATAATTATAAAAAAAAACAAATAACAAATCATTGGCGTTTCTGCTAACGCATTGAGGTTCCCGACATGAAATGAGGTAAAAGAGCAAATAATTAGGCAAAATTGAAAATTTAACAACAATATTTAGCGGCAATAGATTACTTAACCTATATTCAATACTTATCACACTCATAAGTTCATTACACTTTTCCAGCGGTCCGCTCCAAATGAGGGAGTAAGAAGTGAATTGGGAAGGTTCCCTATTAAATTTTATCATGTTATTAAAAGGATAAGTTACTGGATAAAAATTAATAATAATGGAAAATTCTAGGTTACCAAAAATATGTTATCAAAGGCAATTGTGGGCTGAAAACGGAACCGACTGTTGGGCATTTGGAAAAAAAAAATCGATTTTAAACATGTTGGGATTTGGGTACATGTGGGACTCGCCTGTAAATAAAAATTTCTTAGCAATTTTTTACAGAGAGGGTTCGGGACATTGCACTGCATACAGGAAATGAAATGATAAAAGATAACTTAAGATTAACATTTTATAGCTCACTAAACATGGCAAATTCCCTTAACAAATACATTTTTCACCTAAATTTTAAACTAAGAACAACACGATTTCTTTTGTCAAACCATAATTTATTAATAGAAGGGATCGTCATATAAATATTACTAGAGAAACTATATGTTTATTTTGCGATAATTGTGTTATAGAAAATGAAAACCCATTTCCTGTTAGTGTGTCCTTTTTATAAAGGCCTCAGAAAGCAATACATTCTCGACTTATTTTCACTCAGTGATATTTTTGTAAATTATAATTTTCATAGAATACGTCGTCTATCTATTTACTTAAAGACAGCATTTAAAAAAAGAATATTTTGTATATCCGAATAATGGTATAAACATGTGATTTGTAAAATGGGCCAGAGGCCATTATTTACGAATTAAAGAAATGGATGAATAAATGAATGAATGAACTCCACACGTGTAATTGTAGATAAGGTATTTTGGCGGGGGATGGTTTAATATTTGTATTTTGATCTTGGTGAACTTATTGTTAGGTGCTTTAGTTTATGACTTGCTGCTTCGGGGTTGATTATAGTTAAGATATTGCATTGTGGGGAACCAATCTGTATTATTTAGGGGGTTATTATTGATGTATAATAAATGGTTACCGGTACGTAAAAAGGGGATCCAGATTTGTCCAACAGGGGGCCGAAAGAGGGTGAATGTTGACTTATCGATACAATGCTACACTAGGGGGTCCGGGGGCATGCCCTTGCGAAATTCCAGACGTGATCCGTTTAAAGGTTATTAACACGGTTAATCTTAATTGTGACAGCAATGCTAATACAGAACAATTATAATATGACATAAACTTGAATGAAATTATACCAATAAAATTTGTATTATTCCTTGGTTCATGTGCTGTCAGAGAAACAGCAGCATAGAGTAATGACTTAGCCATAATGGTAAAGGTTACGCAATAGATTTGAATCCTATAAGACGAAGTACACAAATAGAAAATAAAACTAATAATCCCATAAATAAGTTTAAATATTGAAAAGATTAGTTGGTGCGAAGTAACGCATACAGTGAGACTATATAGGCCTACCGATAGCAATATTAAGGATCAAGGACAAAAAAATCGGGTTTAATGTTTAATGCATGTCAAGTTGTCACAATATAAATTGGAATTAAATATTGTAGTTTTGAGTTTATTGTAGACGTACACAGATTATAAAAGGCAGCACTCTGAGACTAACTTGATGTAATTTATTTAACACAAGCTTTCGCTGGCAGTCAATGCCAGCTTCATCAGGTGAGTGAAGTAAAAAATTGAAAACAAAATGGAAAAGAGCTAATGCATACATAATTAGCAAAGGTCTCACAATTAACCAATTAGCAGTCGGATACAATGTAGTATATAATGATCAGAGATAACAAGTGTGATCAAGCATAGAGAAAATATAACAGATTTTCTCTATGGATCAAGCTACTTACAATACAACTAATAAATAGAACTAGGGAGATAAACTATCTGTGAGGTCATGGTGCTAATATGAACAATGGAGTCAGTAACAAACTAAATCTTATAGTGGCTGAGAAAGCCTAGATCTATATTGAGGCCACTATTAATGCCATCAAATTTATGAATAAATGTTTGTTCAGCAATTAATCTCTCATTTCTGTTTTTAAAGCTATTACTTAAGAGCACAGCTACTTTAAAGTGTGTAATATTATGTCCTGGTAAATTAAAATGAACTGCAATAGGCCTATCTTTTTTGTTGTGGCGAATGTCAAATTTATGATCATTCATGCGCTGTCTGACAGTTTGGCAAGTTTCTCCTATGTAAATAATACCAGGACATTTAGTGCATGTAATGGCAGATGTAGACGTAGTAATACGATGCAAATTAGTATTACAATTTTTAAAAAGTGTCTACCTAATGAGTTGAAAATGTGTTGATTCGACCATATTGGACACTCGGAAATTGTCCCAGTCCCCCTAATAGGGGTGTCACTTTATAGGGATGTGCCGTTGTTTAAAAAGACATATTTCCTAAGGATATTTTAGGAAAATATCTTAATAGGGGTGTCTCAAAGGAGGGGCTTTGCGTAATACTATATTTGACATTAGTGAAAATGTTTCATTATATATTTACTACAGTATGATAATTTACCTTTTTTTTTCGTGTTGATCAATACTTTGGAAAACATTGTCCTATTGGGAAAGTGTAGAATAGTATTATTGTATGGCTGAAGTTCCTCTCCAAACGGTTCTGGGTTTGTTCAACAGGAGGTCGTGCTTCGAAGGTCGTCCATTCGTAAAAGCAACCCTTTAGAGTGTCTTTTCCACTCTAGGCGAATTTATTCGCGCGAATCGAATACTTCGGTTCTTACGCATGCGCATTCACATTTCTGTCAGGGTTTTCCGCTTCAGCGAAATTAGTAGTTCGAATTGTAATGCAGCCATCCCCCCCCCCCACCATTGGAAATGTCTGGAATTGACCATTCATGATATCTTGAACTATGCCGAATATATTCAGATAGATTTCATTGGGTTAATTCACAAGTTGATCTAGCTCAATTTTTGGGGCCCTTTTTATGCCCCTCCTGACCACACCCACCACAACGGGACCGGCAGATGCCCATTCTCCTACATAGACAGGCACATAGAACATTACTATATACACAAAAATGTGTTAACTTTCCAGCTATGCTGACATCCATGGGCTCCAGCTCTATGTTTCTACTTCATGCGAAAAAAAAATGCACAACCAATCAGGACTTAGGAAGCAAAACCGACGCTCGCCTAGTGGAAACAGGCTTAATGAAGGAAGTGTACCTATTTAGCAAGGGTTGCCTAAAGTTACCGTATGGAATTTCTTTTCTGGATTCAAAAGTGTAACATCGGCAAACACAACACAACAAAACCGAAACTGACATATTAAAAACCCAATGATTCACGTAAACTACAACCCATATAATCTTAACATATAGGCTTTCAACAATATAAAAAATAATTAATTATCATTATAATAATAAAACTAATTAGAGCTGGAGTCAATTAAATATAGGCCTACATTTGTAAATAATCACAGAAGAAACATTGTTTTTCTTTTTTCAAACAAAGAAGTATGTTATTTTATATTCATTTCATTTTTAATGTTGTATTTTCTGTCTTCGAAAATGGGCGACTGGGACGGACTCATAATAGTTTCTGTTGCCTCTTGATCATTTTATTATCAGTAACTTGGATTTATTTATTTTCAAGGTTTGTTTATAGGTCAAATAAATGTTCAATAAAAAATGAAGGTAAAACAGCTGTAGGTCAAATCTAAATCCGGCTATATAAATTGATTAAGCGACTCTGATTTTTGATCGATATTTAGGCATGACACCTTTAGATATGTAGATAAAATACACGAAACGTACAACCAAATTATTGAATGTGTAGCCGTAATAAAATCTTACCTTAATTTTTGAAGCATATCCCTTATAGACGAAAAATGCACTTAACGTATTACCAATTGTGCAAACGTAATAAAAACTTACCTTCATTTTTCAAGCATATTCCTTCAGTGATATAAATATTATCAGCAACCACTATTTCGTTAGGGTCGTAAGCACGTCCATAAAACTGCAGGCGAAAATTGCCAGTGTTGGTTGAATGTAAACTGGCATACTTCCATTGACTGCTGTAGTCACCATAAATTACGAGCGAGTGATAGGAAGAATATTTCCTTATGTCTATATATTGATTATTAGATCCACTTATATAATAATAAAATGTTAGACAAAAATCACTCCAAGTAGCTGTTATTGTTGGACTAATAACGGATCCGTAGCGATTTCCAGAAGTGCGATTTATATATATATATAAACCATCTGAAATTCAGAAAAAAAATATTAAATTAATAATATTTCATTCATATGTGTTTTTTTTTTAAAGAAAATGTCAGCTTTTCATTCTTTCCATTCCAATTCTTCCTCTTCATCAAAATCATCAACTTGCCTTATAGTTTACATTCGACAGTGCACAGTTTATTAAACCAATAATTCGCCATACTGATAAAAATTATTATTTGTATTATGATGATAAATTATTATTCGTATTATGATGATAATTATTATTCGTATTATTATGATAATTATTATTCGTATTATGATGATAATTATTATTCGTATTATGACGATAATTATTATTCGCATTATGATGATATTTATTATTCGTATAGTATTATGATAATATTATTCGTATTATGATAATAATTATTATTCGTATTAGGATGATAATTATTATTCTTATTAAGAAAATGTCAGCTTTTCATTCTTTCCATTCCAATTCTTCCTCTTCATCAAAATCATCAACTTGCCTTATAGTTTACATTCGACAGTGCACAGTTTATTAAACCAATAATTCGCCATACTGATAAAAATTATTATTTGTATTATGATGATAAATTATTATTCGTATTATGATGATAATTATTATTCGTATTATGATGATAATTATTATTCGTATTATGATGATAATTATTATTCGTATTATGACGATAATTATTATTCGTATTATGATGATATTTATTATTCGTATAGTATTATGATAATATTATTCGTATTATGATAATAATTATTATTCGTATTAGGATGATAATTATTATTCGTCTTATGATGATTATTATTCGTATTATGATAATTATTATTCCTATTATGATGATAATTATTACTCGTATTATGATGTTATTTATTATTCCTATTATGATAATTATTATTCGTATTATAATGATAATTATTATTCGTATTACGATGATAATTATTATTCGTATTATGATGATATTTATTAGGCCTATTCGTATTATGATGGTAATTATTATTCATATAATGATGATAATTATTACTTGTATTATAATGTTAATTATTATTCGCATTGATATTATGATAATTGTTATTCGTATTAATATGATGATAGTTATTATTCGTATTATGATGATAATTATTATTCGTGTTATGATGATAAATATTATCCGTATTATGATGATAATCGTTATTTGTATTATAATGATAATTTTTATTCTTAATATGATGAAAATTATTATTCTTATTATGATGATATCGTATTATGATAATTATTATTACTATTATTATTCTTTATAATGATGATAGTTATTACTCTATCGTATTATGGCGATAATTAAGGAGCTTTGGAATGATGTGACACTAGAACGGACTTAAGCCTGGTTTTCTTAAAGGGAGTGTCTATGCTTACGCCGAGTCGTAAGCATTAGTCATAGGCTATGCTACGCCGATCAAATGAGCATGCGCAGGGGTGGCATGAGCATTATTTAGAGGCTATGCTTTCGCCGAATAAGGTATACCGCGAATCGTGCTCTTGCACTTTCCTCATGAGTGCCGTCTGTTCATTGTGATACAGTACTTCATTGTTAGATAGGCCTATCTAGCCCAATTTATGTTTTGATACAATACTATATCTGAAATAATAATGACAATGTATATGTATGATGTGTAGAATGTTGGAGATGACCTGCCTGCTGCAGTGATATTCTGATTTTAAATCATTGTCCTGTACATTACAGTACATAAATTAAAAAGCGACATCAAAAACGAGAATTTCCCCTAGGGTGCTCTTATCTCGATCCCTCACCCCGACCTTTCCAACATCTCTTGATCCGTGTCCCTATAAAATTCATAATTTTCCTATATGAACAAGTACGCATACAATCATTACAAGAGAGCGTGACACAGTTTCAATCCAATTTTGTTATTAATATACAAAAACAATGTAGTATATTTCGGTTTAAGCACCAAGGTTTTTAACAACTGAAATGTTTGAAAGGAAACTCTTAAAAAAAAAACTTTCTTTTTCTCCACTACTAATTGTATATTACATCATTAACTATTAGATAATTTGCTTATAATCTGCCGACATCACAATAATATAGTTTATATTGTACAGTATACAACTTGCAACAGCCAATCTTGTTCATTCACCAAAGCTGATGAAGGCCAGAGGATTAGCCGAAAATTTCTTTCGAAAATAAATACAGTGTTCAATAGTCTACATGCCTTGTTGTCAGCGTGACCACTGCTTGGGTATTTACCCAAGATCTTGGGTATTTTGACTTAGTCTTGGGTTCTTGGGTATTCCGTTCAAATCCTTGGGTATTTTATTTTTACTAAGAAAATTAAATATGTTTGTCATAGAGGAATAATTAAGAAGTAACAAAGTATATTTCAGTCCATTCAAGTAAGCAAAACTCAACGAAGTGCACATAACATTGTTAATTGACTGTTAATTGCTATAAACATGGGTTCAGAATTGTTTATTTGTGATTTGTGTTGTCATTGATCTTACCTAATTAATGCATTACATAATAAAACTATCACTGATCTACTGATAACACTGGCCGACTGAGGGCGTATTTTTCTATCTGTATTGTCACCTCATGAATATTAATTTTAATAATTAACACAAACAATTACAATAAAAAATTGGTTTATAAATTGAACTAAAAGGGAAACTATAGGCCTACATGCGAAAAACACGTATTTTTCAAATTTTAATGCATTTTCAGGAAGCTTGGGTAATTTTGGGCAATTTTTGCTGAATCTTGGGTAATTTCGACCCAGACATTGGGTATATCAAAAATTGTGAGTGGTCACACTGCTTGTTGTTATAATTTTTTGTTTCAACGACTGATATATAATTTGAAGAACACACGTGGATGGAACACTACTGCACTATTTTTACAGCATTGTAACTTGAAATACACATGAACTCATTCAATGTTACAGTAACATATGCTAAAACATTACAAAAATGATTTGAAATATAAATTCGTTTATATAAATTTATGTGATTTTCTTTCTCCCAATTCGATACAGCTTCTGACAATTTTTCATAGCTTGTGAAAGTGCCACAGAGACGCAAAGTGTCTTCATCTGCTATCTTGAACTTCACCAAGTGCGCGCTACAGAAAAAAAAAATATTTGCACATGCTCAATAAGACGTTTTCGTACTCACGAAGCAAGCGGCGCCCTTCAAATAGATCGGCGTAAGCATAGCATATGATTAATACTTACGACTCGGCGTAAGCATAGACACTTCGTTTCTTAAAATCGCTACACTGTCGCTACAGTGTTGACGTTGAATGCGTAGCATCTCCATAAAAACCATTACACGCTATCACCGACACCTTTGGCGACGCTGATTGGTCAGTTGAATAGAGAGCGTTCCAGATTGTGTCCGGGGACAGCTACTCAGTGCAGGATTCTTTGGAAACCAAGCTCTTGGCGATAGCATAGTTACCAACCTGAGAGATTTGAAATGCGTGAGTGACTATACCAGTTGGATGGTGGTGGGGGGGGGGGCGGTCTAAGCGGCAGGAACCATTCCTCCTCCCGCCGCTTCAACTATCTGAGCATTTTAAAGCTGTTTTGAAACGATTTCAGGGAGTGTTTGGTATATTACAGGTACATAAGCAAAAATATTATTTTTAAAGCCAATTTGAGTTTCAATGTAGACCTATGTTTAATTTGAGCACCCGAACTATCATGTAGACCTACGCAAACATTTCATTACTAATCAACTTCGTTAGTGAAATATGTATATGACGGGTCTTCAAAGAAATACTGTGTTTAATACAATCACTTTCTTCTAATTGTCAATACATTTCCCCCTAAATTTGTGATAAGTCGTTATCACGCATAGACTTGTGTTAAATGCGTGACAAATTTTAGGTTCACGCATGTGTTTCTGCAAAATGCGTGTTTCATCCAAAATATCCTTGAAATGCGGGACCGTCCCGCACGATGCGAGACGGTTGGTAGCTAACTATGCGATAGCGTGTAACCATTGTATTGAAACTAAGCTTTTCTCGTGCGTAACCGTCCTCCGTTCTTTGTACAACGTAGATTCGGCAAAATAACGTACTAGAATCCAAGCAACAAACGAGAGCTATAACTTTCTCGCATGTGCAGACGACTTCTTATTGATTTCATTACGTTGTACGCCCTCCTACAGTCGTGCAATCAAAAGTTCCCTATTAGTATTATAATGATAATTAGTATTTGTATTATGACAATAATCATTATTTGTATTATGGCAATAATTATTATTTGTATTATCGTCGTCGCCACCACCACTGCCGCTTTCGTCGTCATCGTAATCATCATTATAATTATCATAATTAGTAGCAGCAGTAGCATTAGATGGTGGTAGTCTACTAGTACAACTAAAATTATCATCATATTGAATGTTATTATTATTATTATTATTATTGTTATTGTTATTGTTATTATTATTGTTATTATTATTATTATTATTATTATTATTATTATTATTATTATTTATCACTAGGCCTATTATTAATATTATTTTGTTGAATATATTTCTTTAAACTACATAATACTCTCGTTTATCTGTGGTACAGAGTAAACCTTGGATTAACAAATATAGAATAATTGATGAGAGTTAGCATTAGTAAATTGCAACTGAACCTGATGCAGAGTAACGAGTGCTTTCATTAGCGCCATTGATTCTTGCAGAAGAACGCTGCCATTGATAAGGCATACTAGAGCTGTGATTCCAGCCACACCACCCATAATTGAAGTCACAGCAAATACCATCTGTTTAAATTAAAAAAAAAAAACAATCTTAAAACATCTTCCAATATATAAAACTAAAAGTCACGAAAAATAAGTCAATGTAACACAAGTAAGTACAGTGGTATGTTAGTAAGTTATACATAGACATTTAAAAGTTCAACTACTTGGCCTTAAGACATTAAGGAGAATAATTTGAAATTTATACGTGAAACTATTGATATCTTTGAATACACAAAATAAATTTGTATTTTTGAAGCTCAAATTATTATTAGTTTTTCAAATAAAGTACCATATCAATTATATGTGACTTATTTAATGCAAATTATGCGCTTTATACCTAAGAAAATTTACCATAAATCGCTAAAATTTAATTCTACATAAATAATATAATATCATTACATTTTGTAAATCTGAAACCAAACTGATAAGTGATTTGTTTATCAAATATTGGATAATGTCATGCGTAGAAATTTTTCAGTTTATTTATAATGGTCAATGGTCATATATTTATATAGCGCCTTCCACACATGAAATTGTTACCATTATCATCTAGTCCCTCATTAAATTTATCTCGTAATGAAAAACAAGATTTTAATTAGCCTCCCAAAAGAAGGTTAGGCCTATCGTTTTAGCTGTGTTCTTTTACACGTTGTTGTCGTAGTTGCTGTCACTGTCATTGTTTTTAGAATTTTTTTTGTTATAAGATGCGGTGATAAGATGACGGAGCTTATTGTTTTTGGTACGTGTGTGGGAATATGCTAATTGATCATTTGCATAATTAATATTTTAATAATTCGATAACTTAGGCTACTTCACGATAACTAAAATTTAATAAGAGCGATTTGTATTAAACTTGGCAGGATATAAGGTGGTAATAAGACGACGGAGCCTATTGTTTTTGGTACGTGTGTGAATATGATAATTGCTTATTTGCATAATTAATATTTCAATGATTAGGTAATTTAGTTACCACGACAACTAAGGTTTGGTATTGGTAGTCTGATTAATTTTAAACTTGGCAGAATGCAAGATAATAATAGGAAGACCGTAACAGTAACTGAAGTTTGATACCGGTAAATCTGACCACTAATAGGAAGATTTTTTGAAAGGGCTTCATATTCTTACTGGTATGACTGGTGACTTGTATAAAATAAAATGGTATGAAAATAGAAATAATAAAGGCCTATGCCCTGTACATGACGCTAAAGAGTGAGCACAGAAAAAAGCATCCAGGTTAAAAATGCTATATCTGGACACAGAATGTGGTAGCACTGACCAAATTACAATTCACAAGATTATTTTAAATCATGGGAATAGACAAATGTAGGTCTACTGCGAAAATGATATATTGTTCAAAATGTAATTAAGTTGTTTATTCCTCCATGACTAAATAAAGTCCAGGAAACACGAATATGTACAAGGAATAACAATGATAACTTTAATTATGTTTACACGACGTGCAGTATTGAGAAATATTAACAATATGCAATTAATTAAATAGGCCTAGAACATGTACTGTGAATACACATCATACATTATGCTATGTGTATCTATGAAAATAGAGTAGGCCTCCTATGCATACACAAATAACGTCGCGTTTCGACAAACTTACTACTCGTACAATTTTATTTACACTTACCAAAGTAAGCATAATCAATTATTTATCACGCTCTAGGTCAGTTATACTATCACTTGAATTGTTAAATTGCTGTAATTAAATCATGTGTTTTCTTCTGGTATACCTTACAGCGATTATACTCAGACAGACCATGTAGATACCTCCATGTACAGATCTGACAGGTGACATAGACAGAGCACTAACATTCAGCATTTAAGGGCTATCCAGCTTTTTTGTAAAAGAGTGGGGAGGGGCACAATGTTGTTAAATTTGGCTAGTTTTAAAGGGGTTCAGTGGTCATACAGTGGAACATTTGTTTACCCGGATGCCCAGAAAAATATGAAATAATTATGATGATGATGATGATGATGATGATGATGATGATGATGATGATGATGATGAAACTTTGTTTAAAGTGAATCCAATTTGAAATCAATGGAAAATAAAGGCCCCGGTAAGGGTGCAAGGAAAAATCCCCTAGAAAAATCAGTAGTTTCGATCTTAATTTAGATTAATTTGGGTTGCTATATTTAGTCTTATAAAATAGTAATACTTCCAGAGAGCGAAGCCATATCTTCCCATTGAGCACGGGGACTAAAAAGCTGGGCAACAATTTGATGGTTCTGGTTGTAGCGTATAGGCATGTTTGGTATTGATTTAATTTTAGTTATTTATATTTTAGTTAGTTATTTTTAGTTAGTTATATTTTAGCAACCAAGAATAGCAAGTAATCAGGGCTGGATTTATTCGATAAGCCTTGTGTGGTGACTAACCCTAACATTTCATACATAGTTACTTATAATTATATGTTTATACCACATTGCTGTCGGAACCGCACCGGCAGCACCGGCTATGGCCGGACCACTTTTTGTCAATAAATAAATAAATAAATAAATAAAAAATTTAAAAAAATAAGTACCGGTATTAAACCTACGTAATAATGTGTACATCAAATTTCTTTTATATCGTAACCTTTGTAATGGGATTTCAGTAGTAATAATAAAATTAGTAAAAACAGGTAATAATAAGGATAATAATAATGATTATAATAATAATCATGATAATAATAATAATAATAATAATAACAATAACAATAATAACAATAATAATAATACTAATAATAACAATAATAATAATAATAATAATAATAAT